TTATCAGATGTCATTATAACTAATACACATCTTATAACAAATATTAATTTGATATAAGATAACTTGTCACAGTATTATTCATTGCTCAAATCTATTTATGTCAGATACCGGCATCTCCATAAATGAAAACTACATGTCTGTTTCCTGATAATTCTGCCTACTTAGAACAAATTTTATCTAATACAAGATTACAAATTATTTTTATCATTTATTTCTAAAGTTAAAATCAGAATGTTGAGTGTGCTTGAGTGTCGATACACAACAAAACAACTGTACTGAAAATCAATAAGCACGTGTTTGATTATTATTGATACATGTATTAGACTGTGTTTTGTAACAAAACTCGTTGAGTTGTTTATTTTCTGTTAAATATATACCACTGTTTGCTAAACCTTTAGGAAAATACGTTCTTTAAATTAAAATTATAGACATTACCTGGAGGTCCCTTTTCACAGCGGTTTCTTCTACAGTTTTTTTTTTGTTTATAATTAAATATCAATAAAATATTAAATATCATAATCAAAATGTTTTCAGTGACATGAATTTTAAAATCTATAGAGCTTCTATTGCTGAGAGTTTACATTTTTTGAACACCAGAAAATAAAAATCAGTCAACTGGTTCCTGGGTTAGTTGTTTACCTTGGATTTTGGAAATCACAAGTAAGTGCTAGCGGTTTATTAGCACCGAACCGAAATTAAAACACCTTCACAAAATTATTTCACCAATCTAAACTATTGAGAATCGCCAGGCTGGAAATAATAGTTCTATTGTCGAAACTCTATTGGAATGTTTGTGGAGGACTTTGAAAAGAATGAGTTGGCCTGGGGAGATATTCAGTGTAATGAACTCAATGGGGGAATTTCAGGATGACTCCAACGTTATTAACACTCGGAAACCCACAATACTAAAGGTGTTGTTTACTAAATTAACATAAAATTGTTATGTTGTGGCAGATATGCTTTATGAAAAACGGTTAATTTGAAATCAGAATGTATTTCATGTCAGCAAATGATGTATTGGCTGATTTTAGTGAACCATGTCTCCAACATAGTCCCTCAGAGACCACGGAAGGTCAAGTATTATCACTGTACAATAGATGATTAATAGACAGTAAGGTTGTGCCTTTTAGAATTCTATTAAATATCTTGTCAGTCTTTAAGCCTCTTCAAAAATCTGCTTTCGTGCCTGATTGAGTATTTTTTGCGCCTAATTGTGGCGTTATTTACGTCGATGACAGATTCGAATTATCCTGTCTCGCACTAATTCATTTTAGTCGAATCTAGTTTATATATAATGCATAACAAACACACAAAAAACTAACAAAAACATGATGATCAAAACATCAGAATGCAAAGTTTAGGCCTATGTGATCGAAACTGTTCGAGATATTTTGAGATGTTAGTTCCAACACATAATTATAGTCCTGCAAGTTTCCATTCCTATAACACAAACAATTATATTAGGCCCGAAACTGTAACAAATTAATATAATATAATGTAATATTATAATAATTTATTGGATCTTTCGTTTAAAACAGAGGCACATGTTAGGAAAACGGTGCGTCCACAAATCATAAAATTTCTTTAAAATATATTACAAGTCTCCCTCCAATTAAAGACCACTTTTGGGACCAGGGTTTCCATGGACTTTAACAGCTTTGGTCTCTATTAGAATCATAAAATAGAGACATTTGTGAATTTTGGACCAGAAAGATGGACTTTAATTGGAGGTGGTCTTTAATTGGAAGGGTCATTAATTAGAGGGAGACATGTACAGTATTTAAAAAAACCACCTTCATACAAAATGGTAAGCTTATGTCTCTTTCGTATAGTTTTAGCGACACTTGTTTTGGATTAATAGGTTCGCATGACAATTTGGTGGACATCACCTACATTTAAAAAAAATTAATTTCCTGAGGGCCAAAATATTGATTGATCATTATGTTATAGCCAATGGGGCTTATGTTGTTATCATCTCACTTTATATAAAAGAACAGCTGGTTAATAATTTTGAAATAATTGTGAACAAATTAACTTCTTAATACTTTGGGAAAATAATGACATACAACACTGTAGGCCATATTCCGTTCACTATTTCAAAGGTATGTTCACATTGTCCGATGACAAATTCACTTTTGTAAAATAATAGGAAACTCACTCGAAACGTTGTGACTTCGATTTGTATATTTATATGTTTTATATCTGTCAGTTCGTATACATAGGCCTATAGGTCTATATTGGAAAATTATATTCAATTCTTATACACATTTTACACAGAAACTTACTGTGGTGCTGCATGGCTGTGGTATTAATAAATATTGTCACTGCAGTACACGACTACGGCTATTGCTGCTGCTCCACCACCACCAGCTTATCTACATGCTTTTTTTTATCTTTCGTGTTGCTAGAATACATGCTGCCGCCGCTGCTACTACCGCTACCACTACTAACTAACACTCTGCTTCTGCTACTATACTAAACTACTACTATTACAATAATAATAATGGTAGACTTTTATAGGGCATATTGTTAAGCCCTCTATGCGCTTCTCACATTATCATTACCTATAATGGAACACAAACTCAATCTCTACTAGGCCTACTACTACTACTACTGTATAATGCTACTGCTGCTAATGCTGCTACTGCTAATGCTAATGCTACTGCTGCTACGGCTACAGCTACTGCTACTACTACTACTACTGCTACTACTACTTCTACTACTTGTGAGAGAGTTCATCTGTTAAAGGAGAAAGAATTAATAAATCTAACATATATGTTACTATACTTACTACTACTATATTTTGAATGAATAATATTAATAACACATATCATTAAATAACAGATGCTTACTAAATGAATATTTTTTATCACTTAACAAGCCTTGTTCTAAACACAGATACAATTTGTTTTCCAAGCTGTCATGGCCGCTTGCCTTTGTACCATTAATCATTATATTAACATACTAACAATGTTAGTAAGTCCAATAAAAATTTCCATTACTGTGCTTCTAATATGGCATACGGTATGCCACAGAGGTTAGGATTTCAGCTATATTAAATCTCTAGACTTCAAAACTACCGTTTTGTACAGAAGTGCTACCGAATTACACTTGTCATATATTGTATATTAGATTTGTGGTTTAGATATGCGTTAGTAATCGTAAGGTAATTCCTCAGTCAACTCTAATATGTTTTCCCTCGAGATAATATTTAAAAAACGAAATCACGTTGGGGTACGTGCAGTATTTCCTGTGTATCGATTGATGTGATTTACTATAACGTCCATGTACTCTGTGTTAGTAAAACATCTGACTATTTAACACGAATATCATACAACTGAATTCTGTGTCGAATAAAAATTAAAATTAATATTCAACTAAAATTTCTGAAGTAAATAAACGGTTAATAAGTATCGGTAATAATAGCCCTACACAAATTTCGATATATACAAAATGACATTATGTACTGTATATGCCATATTGTATTTAATACTATACATTGTATAGCATACAGTGTATTAAAACCACATGTGATTAAATAACCCATAGACCTACATAATATGTTTACTCTTATACGCATATAATTATTCTGTAGTTACCATATTCTGCTTAGTACAAATATCATATCGTATTGTTGTTGCTTAAATGCATACGATTAATAAACTCATATACACACCATAGGTTCATTCAACATATGGGAAGCATATGCCAAATGCAATAAGTTGGTGATGGTTTACACAAAACACTAATTTTATAATTATTTCATCTACAAACGAAACAAAATTTGGCTATAAAATTATGAAGAATTACAAAGACTACATATTATAAATCTAACCAGATTCTAAAATCGAATCAAAGGCTGATTGCAAGAGCACGACTAGTTAATAATATTATTGTGTATATATTTATATTATTATAAATAGGCCTATATACACAATAATTAGTAATATTATTGTGTATATATTTATAATAATATAGGCTATTAAAGTTTTATAATTCATGATTATTCTGTTAAAGAAATTATTTCTTTGAAAAAATATTTTAACACAATAAATATTTAATTTAAAAGGATCAAGTAAGTCATTTTTGTTTCCTTTGTTTTTAATTAATTTATAGTAAATTTAATTTCGTTTTAATTTTATATATCTATAGGGCCTATATTTCTATTTTATATTTTTATACCATTTTCTCTGTTTATTCATTTTTAATAATTATTTAAAATTTGTATTATCTTTTCATTTTTTAGTTTTTTTCTTTTTCTAATTCTTTAAATTATTTAGTTAATTTATTTCCTTTGTTTCTTTTTTTTAATGTACGGAGTGTCCTTAATTATCAATTCCGGCTGGATGGACCACCCTCACAAATTATTGTTGAAATAAAATTTTAAAAAATACAACGAAATTCAGAAATTGGTTACCAGCTAATTTTTAAATAATAAAAAAAAAATTATAAAATATAAAAAAATATAAAATATAAAAAAAATAAAATAAAATAAAAATAAATAAAATACATAATTTATCTTATAGGCAAAGAAAATATAGACAATTTTATTTATGAGACAATTTTCATTATTTGAAAGCTTACAGCACTGTAGCTTGCTGTTACTGCTGGTGCTGTATGTTAATATTACTGTTACTGTGATTGCTATATATACTGTTATTGTTATTGTTCGTTTTACTGTGATTATTATATACCACAATAATATTATAAAAATATATATATATTGAGGTGTAACACAAAGAAAAAAATATTATTATGAGGCCTAGTATTGTTATTTTGATTATAATTATTTCATATTTTCGCCTTCAATATCATTTTAATACTTTCTATATAATTTTTCTTCAGTGGCATTTTTTTTGTGTGCAGAATTATGGTAAATTATGATAATACAGCTAGCGTATTTTGTTCTCATTTTTCTCATACTGAAAAAAAAAAAGAAGAAGAATTAAGGGGAGAAACGAAAAAATTACTAGCAAACTCGAAATTAACTACCAAAATATTTTTGTTTTTCTCTCATTGAATTTAAATTAATATAAATCTATATTAAAACTGCTTTCGAAATTTGCATCTACAATAATATAATCAAGATGTTGAAATTCGTATTTCATATGGAGAGTGGCAGCTGAGACTTTCATTAAAGCTTACGGGAGCGGTGAAATACAATTTCCTATATAATTTCCTAATCATTAGGATACGCAGAGATGAATTCTATTGAAAATATTATATTTGATATCGTTGAATATTCATGAGCTGATGAGAACAGCTGTTGATTGTGTGGATTGCCTACGTCATGCGCGTTCTTTTGTGCTAGTAGATCATTCAGACGATCGCAAGGTCTTTTACAAATAACTATATTGATGCGTCGTTGAATGCCTAGTGTACCGGGCCTCGTTGAGTATTGTGAATCATGCGAAAATCTATAGTTCTCCACAATGCGTCGTCATAAAAGAAATGCTTAACCATTATCCCTTCTCTTCAGAATTATTGTTTTTCATATTCAATGGGTCTTTCTATCTTTTCTATGGCTCTTTACCGCGTTCAAATGCAAAGACGAAATAAAGTGAACAGTTGATATCCAATCTACTGCGTTTCTAGGCGCATTATTCCCAGCTCTCGGTCTATATTATTTTGTATATTATATTCGGCGATATTATACATATTCTCTGTCTGATTTATGTGGGTGAAATATTTACTTCAATGTCGGGTATAACTTAATTACTGTGTTCCGAATCGCCAGCAATATTGTGAAATATGCTTCGCTATGGCCGGAAGCAGGTGAGTTTCAAAATGGTGGATATCTACCTAAAATTTTTCAGAGTATATTTTGATTCGACACAATTTCTGTGTAGATTCTCTCCAAGGGTCATTATTATTCCCAAGTACGTGTTACTCGTAAGCCCCGATGATTAACATCTCTGAAATTCCTTGCTCTCTGGCTCGTGAAAATCATGGCAGCTATTGAATTGGAGGGGTCATGGGTATGACATAGGTGTGTTCAGTTCTGACATCAAGTAATCTGGGGTGCGATTCTTGCCCTGAGGGATCTGAGAACAAAAGGTGGACGGTGAAAGGATGGTTTTAGAGTACCTGGTAAAATACATAGCTTATTACTTCTATTATACTGTCAGTGATCTCGAAGATTTTGAAATAAGGGATAATAGGTTTAGTCGTGGTTTTTAAAAATTAGACTCTCCTGAATTACATAACCCTAATCCCCGTTAAAAGCATTATAAACGTATTATGTTGGATCTATCATTACAAGAAAAGTCTCACATGAATCAACGTTTAAGTCGGGAACGCAACTACCAGATTTCAACTTTGTCAGACTCGAAATGCATGCTTGTCAGGCATAGACATAGGCCTATTTGATCATGCAAGATGGGGCTATGTCTTTTTGTCGGTTATCGTTGGACAATGGTTTTTGACATCAAAGAATGATTTAAATAAATAAAAATATTGTCTGACAGACAAAACTAAGATAGTTTTAATGTCCGTCTTTCAAGTTGTGTGTAACGGCTAACTCAGACTTGTCGGTCGCTGACGTTCGGTTAACCGTTGACGACGAATCCGTCAACGCAGTACGACTCACGCGAAACTGGTGACTGTAGTTGGCGTGGCAGTCTGAGCATTAACTACGTCTTGGTAACTTGAATCGAATTGGCATCGTTGGAGACGCAGTCTGAGCCTGCCATACAGGTGACATCGTACTGTAATATAGCAGTTAAGCCTGTAATATAAGAACTCCTGAGTCTCTGATAGAAGTTTGTTGGTAACTCCATAGACAAAATAATGGGACTTGTCTACGTGTACATGTTGCGATATGTTGCTGAACATGATAAAAACAAAAACGTAACGATACAGATAAATATATATGAACAAGCTCATACATTACTCACCTTGATTATGAATATTTAGATGTCTTGTATGGCAATTGGAGAGTATCATATTAAAATATAAGCATTTCACTTTTTCAAGAAAAAAAATGTCTTTTTAAAGGTATACCTTTAAAAACATACCTGTGCATACCTATGCATTATATCAACTAGCACATAATCATAACCACAAGTAGGCCTATATAAACTGTATATATATTTTCATATACCATTCAATATTAATTGATTTGGGGGCATTTCAACACGTCTGAAGTTACATGTGTTGGTCAATGTAATCAAAATCCAAAATATGCTATTAAACTTTCCACAAATTACAGTCATGTGATGTTTACATATCATGAAACAATGCCGTATTTTAAATAACTTTAAATAAAATTCATGACACTGCAATGACAACTGGAAGTTATCACATAGAAACATAATTGGAGGGTATCATATAAAACATAAGCCTATCGCGTTTTCCACAACAAAGTGCTTGATTATTTATTTTACTTTTACATTTAAAAGCATACCTGTGCATACTTATGCATTATATCAACTAGCACATAATGGTAGACTTAGACCTATCCAAAGGTAAACATATAATTGTATATGAATTCAATTCAATATTATTTGATAGAATATGGGGTATTTCAACATGTTAAGTCTAAAGTTACATGTGTTGGTCAATGTAATTGAAATTAAAAATATGCTATTAAGCTTTCCACAAATTACAGTGGTACAAATATGTTCACATCTAAAACATTTAACAACGTTGTGTTTTAAATAAAATGCACAGTGCACTAATAAAATGCACAGTACACGCTATTAACGGGAGGGTATTGGTAGAATATTGTTTAAATATTCAAACGTGAAT